TTTTTTTTTTTTTTTTTTTTTGGATTCTGTATTAGTTTTGATGTAGGATCTGTAGATCTATGTTTAAGAGATATGTTTTGTAAAGTTTTATAGATAAGAGGATTCTCTGTTTCTTTCCTGCCTTGTACTTGAAACTTAGGCTGTATAATGAGAATTACTGGCTGTCTCCTCCACCCCGATATCCAATTTTCTGTTATTATTGGGAAAATAGGATGTGATGGGGTTTATTCAATTATGTTTCCTGTCTTTGGTTGTTTGATGCTCTGCAAATTCTGTTACTAGAAAGTCTAACATCGAGTTCTAGGACCTTGCACGAAGAATAGGACTTTTATGCGCAGAGAACAACGTCATTTTGCGATGTTCCATGTATACTATTGAGCATATTGGCTAAGGAGATTTTAGTGCTGTTGATTGTAGAGAAATTTTGCAAATGCAATATTCTTAAACATGAACTCACATGTAATTCAAACTTGATACTTTTTGTTGATCAATATGGTTTTATTTCCTGATTTTAAATTACTGCTGAAGCATTCTACCTCATTCGTTCATTGAATCGTACCTTACCATGTGGTCTGATATTCTCTGCAGCTATTTCAGTAGCATCAAGATCTCATAAATACCTTAGTTCACGGAAATGAGCCGCCCACAGGAACCACCCAGACAGTTTTTCCCCTTCGGGAATCCTTTCCGCACGATATCTCCCAAAGGTTCGAATTTTTCTTCAAAACTCAGGGCAATATTGAATGATTTTGAGAGAAACCTTGCTGAAAGATTAAGAAAGCTCCATCCATCTAGTAAGGATGATGTTCTTAGCCTTTCTTGGATGACATTAGCTATGAAATTGCTTTGTGAAACTCACAGTGATGTTAAAAACCTTATCAAGGAGTTAGAGCTCCCTGTGACTGATTGGAACGAGAAATGGATTGATGTCTATTTGGACATCAGTGTGAAATTACTCGACGTCTGCAACGTTGTTAGCTCAGAGCTTTCACACTTGAACCAAAGCAACCTCATGCTCCGATGCATCACCCATAATTTGGATTCTGCAGACTCAAAGCGTCTCACCCAAGCCCGTGCTTCCTTAGATGAATGGAGACTGAACATTAGCACGACAAACTCTAGAATTAAGAATTGTTGTGTAATCTTAGACAGCCTTGTAGAATCTCTTGATCTTCCAAAAGTTAAGAACTCAGCCAAGGGTAAGGTTCTAATGCACGCATTGTACGGGGTCAAGGTACAGACAGTTTTTGTGTGCAGTGTCTTTGCCTCAACCTTCTTAGGTTCCCCAAAACTCTTCGATCTGAAAATTGCCGCTACATATTCGTGGGGACAAACTTTCTCCTCCTTGCAAAGTGATGTAAATAGTGAAATTAGAAGTATATACTCCCATGGAAAGTTTACCCCTCTGAAGGAGCTTGAAGCTATTGATCAATGTGTGGGCAATCTTCATCAAATGATCCCAGAGAATCCTGAAGTCCAAGAAGTTCAACCGCTGAAGAACGTCATATCCGAGTTGGGAGGAAAGGCAGAGAAACTATCAGAAGGTGTACATTTGCTGTCGAAGGAAGTCGACAACTTTTTCCAGATTGTTTTGGCAGGGCGTGATGCATTGCTTTCAAACCTAAGGAAGGGTTAGATCATATGGAGAGGATCCGAGGAACACGAAATCAGACCAATTGCGGTGGAGCTAAACTCGAACCTGTGTACAGGGATAATAGGATGGTATCTCTTGTTTTTTCTCTTAACAGAAGAATATTAACTAACCATAGTATAGAGTAGTTTAATATTGCCGTCTTTTGCTTTTGAGTTTGTAAGATGGAACTTTGAAATGGAAATGTGTAATATGGGGTTTCTATGTTTGAGCATATGGAGTATGTTCTCCTTGTTACTAGAAACTAAGACGAAATAGTTGATTCTTTTGGTCAAGATCATCCCATCTTTGGCTGAGGTTGACCCTTCTTTGGTTGAGGCAAACCCGTCCGTTTGGGTTAATGTCGATCAGTCTTCCGACCAAAGAGAGTTAGCCAAGGCTAATCGAAGAGGTCAACCTATAGAGACTAGAATCTATTGTGCTCACATCATAAGAGAGACGAGTTCCTCGTGACTAAATGCAAACATATTTGTTTGGTTGCATAAAGATATGCTAGGAATGGATCATAGCATAATGGTATACTGCTTGAATGAGAACTTCATCTAGATGAGGCCTTACTAGCTGAGATCGAGGCCACGACCAAATGTCAACCTTACGAGCCTAGTTAAGGAAAAGTGAAAGTTGAAGGTTGAGGTCAAGACAAAGAGTCCTCCATAGAAAATCGACTTATAGAAAATTGACTTGTTGAAGATCGAGAAATGTTCATGACAACATTCAAAAGGCGCGACAAGTCGTAGGACTGGATCTCGAAGCTCTAATTGAGTCAAAATGTTAACCATCAAGTCCTACGATGGTAAAGAAGATTTCATGGAATATCTTTTAACACTTAAACAATTATGGATAGAACTTCATGTCGACCGAATGCCAAATGATACAAAGTTCGACCCATCCAAACTCTATACCGATGGTTCCTCTAATAAGCCCAAAGATCCTTCCAAATCAAAGAAGAAAAGCACCAAAGCGACTACTTGGCATACCCTATGGGTTAGTCATGAGTTTCTCAATGTCAGAAACTTACCAAAAAGCTAACTATTCTCAATAATTAATAGTTCAAAATCTAGAGACCATCTCGGGTTAGACTAACATCATGCACAAAAGTTCATTGCATAAGATGTGCATAAGAAGACGAACACTTAGTTCCATAGAAGAAAAATTATGTAAATGGTTGAATCCATAAGAACAATGTTCCCTAGTAAACTTGTGGCGCAAGGACATATCTTTCGCCATAGAAAGGGTCATGTTTGGTATGTCTATACTCGTATAAAAATTGTACACCAAAAGATTGCATGTATATTGCTTAATTGTGTGAGATGTGCACCCGGAAACAAGTGAAGTCTCAAAAAGGGTTTGATAGATATACCTAGAATGACTCGTGGTTTAGGAACATACCTCAAGTAATAGATAGAGCTAATTGTAGTTTGCTTATATTCCACGTCAATAATGAGTACATCAGAAAGTACCACAATTTTACTCACAAGTGGAGAAAGTGGGTTTGGAAAATGGTTGGAATCTAAAAAGGGTTTGTCCAGTTACTCAAAAAGATCTAGCGACTGGGTGCAAATATTGATTTATGTGGGCAAAGTCATATCAAGATTTAAGCCTTTCTGCAAATTGGAACAATGGGTAAGGCTCACATCTAAAATACAAATATGACATATTTTGATCGAGTTGAGACTGAATTATATCTAATAAAAATGGGTATAGAACTTGCCGGCAACGAGTTTTACTTTCTTTCTTCTAAGGGCTTTTTCGTAATTTTAAACGATAGTTTCATCGAGTTATGACAAGTCATATAAGAGCAACTTAGTGATATATCGACCAAGTCATGTGATCATCCGTTCTATAATCACTATTGCTCTAATATAAAGCCATATATATCGTATTTGAAGACTTGTTAAAAATTGACCAAAACATGTGATTGAGACGAATGTACATAGCCATTCACGCGGTTGAGATCAACAACAAAATTATGTCCATAGACATAGCCATCACTTGTATGACAATTATCTCCATTGAACTAATGTGGAGATTCCATATTAGAATTTTGTGTATGACCGTTGATGTAGTCGTCCCTAAACATGTAATTTCAAAGGAAGATTAAATAAAAAATAAAAAATAAAAAGACCCATTATTCCTTCAGAAAGGCGGGTCGGGATCGGAGTTCGAAGAAAATTTTCTCCAACTTTTTCCAAAGACGGAGACATATTATAAGTATTCTTCCCTGCCTTGACTCTATCAACACCTTCTTGAATTACGAAGCTAAGTATACTTTAATTGGTTAAGACATATATTTTCACTTAATAGGTCAAATAGGTCAACAAATGTTCGGATCAATTTCACTTCTCCAAATGTTATTGAACTAAAAACTAAAATATGACTTCTTGTTTTCATATTCGAATATAAAATCAAATCGGTTCCCAATACTTCAATCATTCGCTACATTTAAAACTCGCGGCCCAAATGTGAAAATCGTCATTGATCGAGGAAGAAGAAAGAAGAGAGGGAACAAGAAAGTCGTAAAGCAAGAAGATGCAAGAGAGTCGAGAAGAAGAAAACGAGAAGAGGATACAATAAAAAATAAAAATAAAAACTATTTTAAAAAACGAGGTCAAATCTAGAATTAGTCCAACGAAACATCCTTAGTTTCCACAATTCGGTCTTTTTCCACTCGAATAATGTTCATAAATTATATTCTTAAACGAACACGACTCTTCACAATGATATGATAATGTCCACTTTGAGTATAAGCGCCTCATAGCTCTACTTTAGCCTTCCCAGAAGACTTCATGCCAATGGAGAGAGTATTGTTAGATTATAAATCCATGATCATTCCTTAAATTAGTCGATGTGCGCGACTTTCTTCATCCAACATTAAAAATTCATAAATTTATATATACAAAATTAAAAGCTTATTTATATCTAATAAATCGATTAATTTAACTTTATAAATTTCGAGATTTTCACAAATTTATTCAATACCAAAACTATTTTTAAATTAATAAGTTGAGTAGTAAAAATAAATAAATAAATAAATAAATAGGAAGTTGATCGAATACGTTCATGGAGGTGCGAATCAGAGAGCGGATACAGACGCAGGCCTGCGAGTCTCCTCGAAGTCGTCTGGATGAAGGTTCGTATTCCGTTCTAACTCTCTTATAGGTCAAATAATCTTGGGAGAAATGCTCGCTTACATTTTTTCTGCAAATTTCAACACACTCCTCTTCAAATTTGGCCGTCTCTCCAACTTCCAATTCAGTTTTTGCCTTAATCTAAGTCGATTAATCTTTGTTTCTACTTTTCGATTTAGGTTTTTTCGTGAATTTTGATCTGTTCACTTCACTGGGGCCTCGGGAGTGTCAATGGAGCCCGGTCCTTTTAATCACCACATCAGGGGAGTGCCTACCCATGGGGGCCGATACATTCAGTACAATATCTATGGCAATCTATTTGAAGTTCCTAGGAAGTATATTCCTCCCATAAGGCCTGTTGGAAGAGGAGCTTATGGAATTGTCTGGTATGAAGCTTCTCTTCTCTGTTTCTTCCTTTTGATTTTGCTTGTTCTTAGTTTTTCTTCAATGTGTAAAACTTTGTTGTTTTCTTTACAAGAGATTTTTGCTGTACTGTGTAATTTGTGGAAGAGGAGAGGAACAATAGTTTTTAGAAAAGGGAGCTGAAAGTGTGATCAAAACAATAAGTTAGGATGGACATCTTCAGGGTCTTTTACAGATCAATATGGACTGCTTCTTCCTTTTACCTATATTATTTGAGTATCTTGTCTTCTCTGGCCTCTGCAATTTACTAGGGTATTGTGAGATTTCCATATTGGTTGGAGAGGGGAACGAAGCATGCCTTATAAGGGTGTGGAAACCTCTTCCTAGTAGACGCGTTTTAAGACCGTGAGGCTGATAATGATACGTAACGGGCTAAAATGGACAATATTTGTTAGCGGTGGGCTTGAACTGTTACAAATGGTATCAGAGCCAGATATCGGGCAGTGTGCCAGCGAGGACGCTGGACTCCCAAGGGGGGTTAGATTGTGAGATCCCATATCGGTTGGAGAGGGGAATGAAGTATTCCTTATAAGGGTGTGGAAACCTCTCCCTAGCAGACGTGTTTTAAAACCATGGGCTGATGGTGATACGTAATGGGCTGTTACAAATGGTATTAGAGCCAAACACCAAGTGGTATGCAAGTGAGGACTCATTTGGTTGGAGAGGGGAACAAGCATTCCTTATAAGGGTGTAGAAACATCTCCCTAGTAGACGTGTTTTAAAACCGTGAGACTGACGGCGGTACGTAATGAGCTGTTACAAATGGTATTAGAGTCAGACACCAAGCGGTATGCAAGCAAGGACACTAGGCCTCCCAAGGGGGTGGATTGTGAGATCTCATTTGGTTGGAGAGGGGAACAAACATTCCTTATAAGGGTGTGGAAACATCTCCCCAGCAGACGTGTTTTAAAACCGTGAGGCTGACGGCGATACGTAATAGGCTGTTACAAATGGTATCAAAGCAGACACTGGGCGGTGTGCAAGTGAGGACACTGGCTCCCAAGGAGGGTGAATTGTGAGATCCCATATCAGTTTGAGAGGGGAACGAAATATTTCTTACAAGGGTGTTGAAACCTCTCCCTAGTAGGCGTGTTTTAAAACCGCAAGGCTGACGACAATACATAACCGGCCAAAGCAGACAATATCTACTAGCAGTGGGTTTGGGCTGTTACGATTCTTGTCTTGCTATGATCAATGTAAAAAATTTTAAACATGTTTAGGCAATCATTATAGACATTAAGCCTTTCTTGTAACGTTCCTGCTCTTCTGTATCACGTTGACTTGTTCAGATGTATTTCTCATTATTCTCAATGAAAGCTTGGTTTATTACCAGTTACATATTTGTATATGAACAATTAAAGCAAGACATTACTTGTTTGTCTATTCAGTGCTGCTTTGAATTCAGAAACAAATGAAGAGGTTGCAATTAAGAAGGTTGGCAATGCATTTGACAATAGAATTGACGCTAAAAGAACCTTGCGAGAAATCAAGCTTCTTCTACACATGGAACATGATAATGTAAATTTCAGTGTCTATATTACTTCAGATCTTTTATTTACAATATGTAACTTGTTTATGATTTCCTTTTCTTTTCTTTTATTACTAATATCTATTAGTTTTTGCCTTATTGGAGTATCCATCGCCATATTAAGTATGAGCATTGAA